GTTGTCCATTGGCTCTTCAATTTCTGTTGATTGCTTGACATATTCGGTTTCAGGTTGAAGGAAGAAAACTTGAGGGATCTTGCAGCGATGGCCTGGCCCGAATTTGTCTCCACATGCATAACAAAGGCCCTTTTCCCGTCGGGCTTGCATCTCAGCCCAGGTTAACCTCTTGGCTGAGCCGGGGCCTGAACCAGAGTTGGCGTCCTTGCATGGTTAAGGCGTCGGTGAAGTCTGCCCATGTGGCTCTTGGGTGCCGTCGCTGGTACCACTGGTACCAGATGATCGCCTCTCCTTCTAGGTGTGCAGAAGCTAATGGGACACGATTAGGTCCCTGTGTGTCGTGGTAATCGAAGTACCTTTCTGTTTGCAGAAGCCAGGATGTGGGATCTCCCCCTGCGAAGATGGGAAAGTTGATTCTTGCTGTTCTTGATCCGCTTCGATGACTGGTTTCACTGCGCTCTTCCTGAATTGGTGCAGGTGGTGCTTGTGCCAGTCGTTCAAGCAAGGATGCAAAGCTTTCTTTGATTTCTTTGACATCAGCCGATATCCTTTGCATTTCTCCTTCCATGTTGTCGACTCTGTTCTCCATTGCGGATGACCTTGTGCTTGGCATCTTGGCTCTGATACCAACTTGTTAGGAACTGCCAAACTCAGGGACTCTTTCGAGGGAGCCTGCCTCCTGAATGAGAGAGAGAGAGAGAGAGAGAGAGAGAGATTGTATTCCCAAATCATAATCCCCTCCTAACTTCTTTTTCTTATTTATATTCTGCTGTTACAATTCTGTTATTACCAGTCTCTCCACTTGTCTAGTTTGTTATTTAGTTTGTTCTAGTGGTTGGCTGTTAGTTACATTCTTTAAAGGCTGGCGTGGCCTTTTCTTGTACTCCTGTATCCCCTTTATTTGTGTCCCAGTAGAGCATCCATCTCTACTTGCATTGTTTCCTTCCATTCAGGTATCAAAAGGGCTTCTTGTGCTTTTCTAGGTATAGGAATAGCAGCAATACATGCCAAGTAAGACCTATAGGATTCTGAGAGACAATTATAGGAAAGGAACTTGGAGATGCAATGGGCAATGGATGAGGTGCAACGGCGCTTTCCTTTACGAATTGCAATTGGAAGATCAAGGTCAACTGATGGTGAGGGTTGAGCATTTGTAATAGTGGGATCAATTGTGGGAGCAGTAGTAGTGTTTGGATCTGGGGTTGTAGAAGATGTTGGAATTGACTTGGATTGCTGTTGAGCACGAGAATCAACCTGCTTCCACCACTTTCTGTGTTACACTCTCAACTCTGCATTTTTGGCAACCCTCTTCACATCTCTCCCCTTCAGTAACTGGGACAGGTAAAGGAACTTTTGGGGCTGAAACTGAAATCCCTTCCTCACTACTCTCCCCCTGAGGAGAAGCCCTATAATAGTAGGGCATATCCTCAAAAAGGGTGACATCCATGGACACAAAATGCTTCCCTGAAATAGGCTCATAACAACAATATCCCTTTTGATTTTATGCATATCCAAGAAAAATACATTTAGTGGCTTTGGGATCAAACTTGGAGCGATGAGGTCCAAGGATTTGAACAAAACAAGTACACCCAAAAGTTTTGAGGGGAATAGTGAATATGTCCTTATCTGGATACATAAGACTGAATTGCATTTGCACGTTTAGGATCCATGAAGGAACCCTATTAATAAGGTACACGACTGTACGGATTGCATCCCCTTAGAAGCGTATGGGAACATTTGAGTTGAGCATAATGCTTTTGGCTACCTCTAAGATATGTTTGTTTTCCTCTCAGCAACTCCGTTTTGTTGAGGTGTACGATGACAGGTGCTTTGATGAATGACCCCATGATCAAGGAGATAGGATGCCAAGGGTTGTGCAAACTATTCCTTGGCATTATCAGATCTAAGAGTTTTGATCTTAGTTTCAAACTGGGTTAGAACCATCTGATGGAAAGCCTGGGTCAGAGAAGGGACCTCATCTTGAGAGTGCATAAGGTAGACCCATGAAAAACGTGTATAATCATCAACAAATAATAAGAAATTTCTGAACCCCCCCATGGTGAGAGTATGATAAGGCCCCCAAACATCGGTATGCACAATTTCAAAAGGAAGGTTGCTTCTTTTATTACTCAAAGGATAAGATGATCTACTGTGTTTTGCAATCTCACAACTTTCACACTTTAAACTAGACACTTCTACTGACTCAAATAAGTTTGGAAGAAGACTCTTCAAAGATCCAAAAGATAAATGACCTAAGCAGTTGTGCCAAAGCATAATCTTAATACAAGACTGAGAGACAAACAATTTCCCCACTTTACTCTGCTCCCCCTGTGAATGTTCAAGCAGATAGAATCCATTCATCTCACGGCCAGTCCCAATCACCTTCTTTGTTTCCAGAACTTAGTTTCAGTTGATAGTTCCTTTTCAAAACTGTAACTGTAATAAAAAACACCAGATATTAACAGTCCAGAAACTGATTTCAACAAAGAACAAGAGCCAGAATTGTAACTTTAATCAGAGAACAACAGTCTAGAATTTAACCTCAGCCAAGAGTGCAAACACAGTCAAATACTTTAAAAAAATGCAATCTCATTCAAGGATTAACTCTCTGATAAACAATCCTGGACTGTAATCAGTCCAATATTCACAGTCAAAAAGAGGTTCGTAGGGTTAAGAACAAACCATAGAAAATTCAGATTTTCTCAGCCATACCTTCTAATTAAGTTTAACTTGTTTCTTACTACTGCTGGTTCAAGAAGAGATGAGATCTTACCCAAAAAACTCTGATTACCTCCTTTAATCTTGATAAAAATCCAATCTTGATTCCTCTAACCTTCTTTGATTCTTCTTGATTACCAAGAAACACTCTCCAAATCTTCGGACAGCTGCTAAAGATCTCTGGTAACCTTCAAGAATCAGGCAAAGGTAGCTCCTTTCTATTCTTCCAGCCCTAGGTAACTCTCATGTGGTTGGCTGGGTTAGACTTCACATGAGAAACCTTCGATCGTGCTCTGATACCAACTTGGATAAAACATAACTGCTGCTGTGTAATCTGAGAAGAGAAACACAGGTTCAAAGAGGAGAGAGAGAGAGAAAAGAAGAGTGGAAGGAAGGAGAAGAGAGAAGGAAAGAAGGGGTTCGGTTGATTGATATTGCCACCCCATACATTCATTATATATAGTTTTGGTTCCTTACAAGAATAGGAGATAAAAGATAAAGTCCTAGTCCTAATAAAACAAAAACAAAAAACATGGATAAACATAACATGGATAAGGCCAGCCGGCCCAAGTTAAAAAGGAATTAAAATAACTAGGTGTGGGTATGGAACTACACACACTAGCTTAAGTGTGGGTATGGAACCCCACACTCGTGGCTTACTAACTATTTCTACAAAGTTCAAATCTAATACACTTTTTCATAAATTTCTATCAATTTTTTGATTGATTTGATTGGGCCTGATTTGAGCTGACCAAATCTGCTAGAACGGGCACAAGTTCACTGGTTGTCATGGGTGTTTTGAGTGTGAGCTGCAAGCATGGAGCCATGGACTGTGAGGCCCATGGTCTGAAGGCCTAAGGCTTCTTTTTAGCACATATCTTCTCTATATCGTACCTGTTTAGAAGTTCATCCTTAGAGTGAAGGTTCAAACTATGGCATTTGGATTCTTGTCTAGAAATATTAATTGCACCTATCACCTTTGCATTCCAACAATGTCAAAACATCAAATGCAGAACGACCCAAGGTTGTTCTCCACTTGCTATCTTTTTTCTATTTCTAATTTTTTAATGAAATTTTTTATTGGATGGAAGTTTTCATTTGCTATGACATGTTACTCATGTTTTGTTTGTTAACTATATTTAGATTTAGTTACCCCCCCCCCCCCCCCCCCCCCCCCCACCACACACACACACACACACAAAAAAAAAACACTAAATAATTGTATGCTAGCATGAATGTAAAGTCGTTTGTATATCATATGTTGTACAGGTATTAAAAAGGCTGTACTAGGCCAAACAGAGGTGAAAAAGCTAGTAAAGGATGGTGGACAGGGAAGAGGGAGAGGAGGAGTTGCCAAGGGATGCGAAGATTGTAAAGTCACTCCTGAAATCAATGGGTGTTAAGGATTATGAGCCCTGTGTTATCCACCAGTTCCTGGAGCTATGGTATCGTTATGTGGTTGATGTTTTAACAGATGCACAGTTATACTCGGAGCATGCTGGAAAGTCTGCAATTGACTGTGATGATATCAAGCTAGCCATCCAGACAAAAGTCAACTTCAGCTTCTCACAACCCCCGCCTCGGGAGGTAATCTTTAGCTTTAGCATTGCTTCTCTTATAACATTTTTTTTTGTTCTTGGCCATGAATTTTAAAACTTGTTGAAATCTTGTTTCCCATTCATTTTTTTTTAATGATAAGTAATCTTTCCCATTCAATTTGTAGTGGGATTTATTTTATTGTTCCTTATCTAGAAAGAAAAACATTTTAACTTCTGTCAAGTAGGGGTGCAACTTGAGTGGGCCTAGGTTGGGCTTTTGTCAAAACTTCACCAGGCCCAAATTGAAGGCCTGAGCATGAAGCAATGTAAAAAGCTAACTGAGGCCAACCTGATTTGCATTCCTACTCTCAGTTCTCACCCCATAATCAATGTCACCAAATGTCTTTATAGATCTATGGAGAAAAATGTAATTTTAATATTTTATAGGCAAAACAGGGAAACATGAAATGAAACAACTATGTAGCAGTTCCTTATTCATTGTAGAAAATTGTATGTCTCCTTTGGATTGCTGGATAGAATCCAGTACTAGGGAAAACCTCAAAAACTGAATTTTTACAGGAAAAAAAAAAAAGAATTGCACTAGAGGTTGGGGCCACAATCTAGAATCAGGGGAAAATCTCCTTGAGACTTCTGAGGTCTTCAGATCTCAATATTGATGTTTTCCTTTTGCTCTTTGAGCTTATTGCAACCTATCATCTTGATTGACCTCAAAGAGCTTCTTAAGTCTATTTTGATAGTATCATACTATCATAATATTGTGTTTGTTTTGTTTACCTAGAACTGATTGATATCTTTTCTAGTTTAATCTAGAATCTTAAGCCTTCCTTAATTTGCCTGCGGGCGTGTGAATTTGTGTTATTTATAATGCCATCACAAAGCTAGCAAGTATATAATATTAAAAAATGTATAATAGCAATAGCAGATGCATAGGCAAAAAAAAAAAAAAAAACTAATTGCTGTTGGAAGCCAGGTACTTGGGTCGTACAAAAATTCTGCTGTCTTCTTCCTTGTGAGTTCATAGTATTATTTTGTTAACAACACTAACGTATCTTACTATCCACCAGGTCCTACTTGAATTGGCTAGGAACAGGAACAAAATCCCACTACCGAAATCAATTTCAGGTCCTGGGATTCCACTCCCACCAGAGCAGGACACATTGATCAGCCCCAACTATCAACTTGCGATCCCAAAGAAGCAAACTGCCCAAGCAGCAGAAGAAACAGAAGAAGAAGAAGAAGGGACCAATCCAAATCCTCCTCAAGAACAAAAGACAGACCTACAGCAACAAACTCCCCAAAGGGTATCATTTCCTCTAGCTAAATGTCCAAGATGACTTTGCAGTTTGCATTGTATATATTAAGATCTGCTCGCTAGTCCAGTTGCTATTCGACTGATGAATTAGTTGTCAAAATCAGTTACTGGAAAAAATGATGCGAATTATATATAGCCTGGGAGGATAACATATGCTTCAACTCCAACACCAAGTCGAGTCACTCTTATCGTGGACGCCTTGTAAAAGTAGGTGCTTTTGCTTTTTCACGGACATCCCTCCAGCCTGTCTGCCCCTCTCTCCCCAGTGCGCAGTCAGCCATATCCTTGCTTCATTGGCCATTTATTTATTTTTCCAAAAACAGTATCCTCAGCAAGCTGTACTGATGTAAATGTTCTGAAAGCCCTGCCCACTATACACTGCAGCCGCACATCTCGCAATTCTCCCTGATGACCTGTAAAGTGGTGAGTTATTGACCTGTTGTGTTGACGAGTTCACGTCTATTTTTGGGGCTGTCAAATAAAATGTCGGATTGAAGCAAGGTTGATGCTCCCAATTTGTCAAACATGAGATCATTTCATCCATGGTGATGGTGGTTCCTAATTGTTTTGTTTAAATAGATACTTTATTCATCCTACCTTTGGCAATTTATTTCTTGTGCTCTGCGGACTGCGGACTGCGGCCTGTCACTCTACAATAATTCTCGTGTATTTAAATGCTGGCGTGGAACAGCGTTCAGCTAAACCTTGTTCCCCTCCAAAGACCAACAAAAAAAACTAAATTATACAGCTGAATTTACTTATACGCAAAGTTCTTGTATAGAAAAAGACTGAGGGAGATAAAAAGTGAGTTGAATACTTCTGCCCCTTCACTCTTTATTCTTCATTCTTCTCGACCTTGTCTTCTCTATTTTTTTTTCCTTCTTGGAACCAAGGTTCAAAGTATCCATCGTACTTAGAAACGACCAAAACTTTATTTATTTTTTAGTTTTCTTTTTCACATTTTGTATTTTTGGAAAGATTTTAACACGTTTTTTATTATTAAAAAAATTGGGGGTCCGAAACACCTAGAAACAAGCGTTTTGGACCCTATCTTTTTCAAAAGATACGATACGATATGCCCCGTATCGAACGTATCATAGATACTTTGAACCATGCTTGGAACCCGTAACAACCAATTATATAAGTTTACATTAGGGCGAAAGACATTTTATAACTAGTAATGTGTCATGATCCCATGGTCAATGCTAAAATTTCAATTTCCAATTAAACTGTGGATGGAGTTCTTCTTTTCTAAAGTGAGTATCAAATCAATCCCAGAGAACTGATAAGAGGTGCAAATTATCAAAAGTGGCTACAGGTAACCAATTCTGACGATCTCCTTGTGGCATTGTCTTTGTTAAAGTTGAATTCTTTAAAATCATCATGTCCCAGCTAATTGAATTGAAACTGCTAGAAAATATCAATAATCCAACTCATAAACTTTAAGAGGACAACGCAAAGCTGGCGGGAGGAAATAAATACATCAGACCATGTTCTGCTATGGATCAGGTCATGCAAATAGAATTGAAGGAGATTATTATTAAAAGAACATAAAAAACTTACAAATTGCTCTCTTCGGGGAGTTATACAAGTAGACAAAGAGTGTCTCTCGTGAGACACCTTCTAGGTATTCATCTCTCTTTTCTATTATTCTTTCAGTCTTTCAATCTCTCTCCCTTCTTACTCTCAATCTTCTTGTAGAGGCCACATGAGCACATGAGTGATGAAACAACAAGGATGTAGTAGGAGGATGAAACCTCTGCCATGGAAGTAAATTATGAGAGGGACAAAATTGTATATGATTCTCGTGAGTGCATAGACTATTTGATATAATAGACTGGATGGTGTTCAACAAATTTAGGCATCATCCGACAACAAATAGACCAAATGATTGTATATGATTCTCATATACAACAAATTTAGGAATCATCAATTATAGTTACAATAATTAATTACATAGGTGATCTAACACACTCAAATTCCTTTAAAACTAAACAAACCACATGATTGTATATGGTTCTCATAGGTACACAAACCATTTAGTATGGTGAAGACTAGATAATGTACTAGGCTTAAAACCCATCTGACATCGAAAAGACTGGATAATTGAGTGCAATTTTGGAATATCATTTATAGTTGCAAACATCTATCCCTCGAATGATTTAGTTATAGTTACACCATCAAATGCACATAGAACCCAATAAACCACAAGGGTTTGTATGATTCTCACAAGTGTATAAACCATCCAGTGAACGATGAAGCTCTATTTCATTAATCGTTTGAAATAAGCAGCGTACGCCTTCACGAACTCATGAGGTGAAACATCATTCACTATTCTAGTAGTTTTCATAACTACAACAACATGTAGAGTTGTAAGGCAATGATGAACTTTTAGGGTTTTTACTCTCTAGGAAGTGTAGATGGCATTTTTCATTTTTGTAGGATATTTTACCCTTAAATAATTTACAAATCTAGCGAAAATCAAGCTCATTTTCCTTCTTCAAAATAAACCAATTTCATATTCAAGGCAATCACAACTCCAAATATTTGTGGTTGACTATGCAAATCCTATCTCCCTGTTGTAAAGAGCTCAAGCCATGTTTTCTACAAAGATAGAAGCCTCTAATTTCATTTCAACATACAAAAAAACTTACAAAAGAAAATTGAGAAATAAATGAATGTCTTAATAAAGTGAAAAGAGGGAGATATAGAGAAAGAGAGATAAACATGAAAGACAAAGACAATGGAAGAACAAAAGTAAAGTTATAATGCATGATGGTGGGATTTTAAAAAGGGCAATTTGGTAAAAATAATAGGCTTTTTGTACAGTTCACTGTTTTTGCAATTTTTTTTCAAAACGTATCGGATCTTTGTCAATGGTCGTAACTTTGTTATTTTTTATGTAAAAAGTAAAAAAAAAAAAAAACCGTGAACTGCATGTATTTCGATTTCGACCTTGAGGCTCAGTTTGGTAGTTGTATGCGGTCATTTTATGGTTTAATCGATTTCCAAATCTGATCAAAATTCGATGAATAAATCCGGTTCTGTTCATCTATAAAAAACCCGATTCGAATTAAAAATTAATATAATTGGATCCACATATAGGAAAATCCGGTCCAAATCCGACGGTTTACTGCCCTACGGGGTACAGGCCTTAATTGGACCATCGTTCTGTTTTGGGCAATTGGACAGTGGATAAGAAGCCCACGTTGTCCCTTGACAAAATCTTAAAACTCACTTGCGTGACGTGGCTTAATTTCCACCGTCCAAATGACAATTCCACCCCCAACGAGTCAACAGTCAAAATGAAGTGAGCGAATATGGAATTCATTTGGATTTGGTGCTCCCTTTCGGTCGGGTTGACAATCGATCGCCTGATGTTCGGACCGCTCTTGGGTCCATTCATTACCGATTCGCCCGAGGCCCGAGGCCCGAGGCCCGAGGACCGCTCTTGTTTGACCCATATCCTCTTCGTCTTAGGTCCTGCGTCTCTTGCTTCTTCTGCTCGTGCTGTGCCACACCTCAGTGCCTGTAATTGCTTTCTTTTCTCCTCGGGTGGGAAATGCTAATCTCGGAAAGTCATTTGCCTCTCTTCCGGTCAGATCGATCTTATTCTCTGCAGAAAATCTGAGAAAGGAGAAAGCAAAAAAAAAAGAATGCTAATCGGCTCTCGCATAGGTGCGGTCGTTTCGTCAATTGTTTCAGTGTATCCTCACGAGATCTCCGCATTACTCCACTCTTCCTCGTGTTTTTTCTTTGTAAGCAATCCATCTACCCTGATCAACAATACATGTTTATGGACTCTGAATTTTGCCATAAATTCGATCTCTTCACGCGATTTCTACTTGAGCAACTCGAGATTTTTATTTATTTATTTATTTTTTTAAATTTGCGTTCTTGCTTGATTGCTAAAATTAGATTTGGTTGTATGATTTAACAGTTTGTTTTTCCAACTATTAGTTTTCGTTTTATGGTTCATTAGTTTATCTTCTCACGAGGCAGTTGGGAGAATTTACATGTCTTGTTCTCATTTCTGAAATCGGCGTCCCTTCATTTTTTTGGATCTTCTCTTACAGATATAAGCATCTATAGACAGAAAATAGATGTTCTATTGGTCTTTGCACTACTTATGCTCCGATTTTTTGTTTCTTATATAGTTATAGCTTTATCTTTCACGTCATTTTTTTTGATTGCCTAAATCAATAGTTTAAAGTGTATGAGCTCTTTGTTCTTCCTTATTCTGCTTTTTTTGTATATTTATTTATTTATTCTCTTTTTCTTTTTTTGCAGATTTTGAGTGCATATTTTGTTGTTCTTCCATTACGTGATGAAGGTGCAATATCTTTAGGTCTAACAAAGCTCCCCGAGCTCTTTGTTGGATCATTAGCTCTTACATTGGTGGCTGCCCCTGTTTCTACAATTATCTTCTCATTGCAAAACCTTTCCAAAGGGAAAGTATGAAACATTTTCATTGCCTTTTTTTTTTCTTCTGTTTTTTAGAGTGTTGTGGGTTGGCTTGTTTTAGTCGAGTGATACCAAATTTGAACCATGACATTGACATTCGTATGGTTAATTACCTTTTCTGTTTGGGCATGATTTGCTGCAGGCGAACCAGTAATGTTAAAAAGAGTGAACTTTGTTTTGAAAAGGAAGACTGGATTTGATAGGACCTTCTTGAAGGTAATCATAATTGATTACATACAAATATTAGCTTACCCACTAACTATAAACTTTCAAAGATGGTGAGAGTCCATAGGGAAGAATATTTTTATGCTAAACATTTTGTTGGAAAATATTGAATACAATTGATGATCAGAATGTTGGAAAATGTTAAAAGTGGATTTGGAAAAAGCCTATGATCATGTAAATTGGGGCTTTTTGGACTACATGTTGGAGAGATTTAATTTTGGCAGAAAATGGAGGAACTGGATGAAAGTTTGCGTAACAACAGTGAGCTTTTCTTTTCTGCTAAGTGGGAAATCAATGGGGAGAATGTTCAGCTCGAGAGGTCCGAGACAGGGGGACCCCCTTTCCCCCCTGTTGTTCATTTTTGTAGTGGAGGCTTTGAGCAGGTTGGTGCAGAGGGCAGTTGATGGAGGTTTTATGGAGGGTTTCAGGGTGGGTGAGGAGGAAGGAGTGGCAGTATTACAATATGCAGATGCCACTCTATTCCTTGTTGATGCAGCTAAGGAGCAGATGGAAGCCATCTGTATGATACTCATTTGGTTTGAAGTTGTTTCAGGCCTCAAGATTAATCTTCATAAGAGTGAGCTCATGCCAGTTGGAAGGAGCAAATGTGGAGCAGTTGGCAGAGAGTGTGGGTTGCAATATGGGAAAGCTGCCCACTAGGTACTTGGGGATGCCTTTAGGAGAGAAATGTAATGCTAAGAAAATTTGGGAGCCTATAGTGGAAAGAGTGGAGAGGAGGTTGGCATCTTGGAAATTTAGATACTTGTCAAAGGGAGGAAAGGTGGTGCTGATTAAAAGTGTTCTCTCCTCTCTTCCTACCTACTTACTTTCTTTGTTCCTCATTCCAGCTTGCATGGCTAAGGTAACTGAAAAGAAAATGTGTGATTTTCCATGGGAAGGATGGAAGCAGAAATGTAAGCTGCACCTGGTAAAGTGGAACAAAGTGTGTAGCCCAAAGAAAGCGGGGGGATTGGGGGTAAGGAAGCTAAAAAGTTTAATATAGCCTGTCTTGCCAAGTGGCTGTGGAGGTGGAATGAACAGCCTGATGCATTATGGAGAAGGATTATTCTAGCTAAGTACGGAGCAGATGTGTCATCTTGGGAGCCAGCGGAGACTAGAATGTCTTATGGGTGTGCTGTATGGAGAGGAATTCAAAAAGCGTTGGAGGAATTCAGAAAAGGAATAGGATACAAGGTGGGAGACGACACAAGAATCAAATTCTGGACTGATATTTGGTGTGGGGATCACCCTCTTTATCAGAGCTTTCCCAATCTTTATGAGACTGCTCAAAACAAAGGCTGCATGGTTGCAGAGGCTTTTGCTTGTGTAGGAGATACTGCAGTTTGGTGTCCAGTGTTCAGATGGAACTTAAATGATTGGGAAGTTGTGAAGTGGATGGAGTTGATGCAACAGCTATCTGGTATAACTCCTGGCTCCACAGGCAGAGATAGGAGAATTTGGAAGTGGGATAAAGAAGGATTTTTCACAGTGAGATCCTTCTATAACAAACTCACAGAGGTGGAGGTGGTGGATTTCCCAGAAGCTGTTGTATGGAAATCTGCAGCCCCTCCAAAAGCTGCTTTTTTATTATGGGTGGCAGTGTCGGGTAAATGTTTGACAACTGAGGTTTGACCAGAAGAGGGATGAATGTGTTGCCTAGCAAGTGCATTATGTGTGGGGAAGCATCTGAGGACTTAGAACATTTACTAATCCATTGCAGAGTTGCTCGCCTCCTCTGGACAAGGTTTTTGGGGCTGTTTGAAGCTCAGTTTTGTTTCCCAGAAAATGTGCTAGCAGTTCTTCAGAGTTGGCATCTGAAGGGGCTTTCGAAAGAAGGAAGGTAATTTGGAGAGCAGGTCCAGCTTTAGTGATCTGGACATTATGGACAGAAAGAAACAAAAGAATGTTAGAAAATGTGTATGTTTCAGAGGATACTTTTTGTAATGGTTTTTGGGGTAGGATGTTTTCATGGGTAGGTCTCATAATCTGTTCAGGAATAGATCTTATAGGTCCTTTTGTAATCCTGAAGCCCTTTTTGTATCTATGCATACTGAGTAATCTTTTAGTCGGTGTACAGCGTTTGATTGCGCACTGCACAGCTCCTTTTTGTGCAGATTTGGTTCTTGTTTTTTGTCTAATATATTACTTTACCTTTTTCTCAAAAAAAAAAAAATCATGAGAACATCCTCAGGATTTTCTCTCCCTAGTCTCTACTCTCTCTTTTTTTAGCCTGTGATGCCTAGACATGGATACCAACATGAACATCGATGTGGGAAATGGGGATATGCTTATCCATTCCTAAAATCCCAGACATGGAATAAGGTATTGGTATCCCACATAATATGCTAATGCCATGTTTCTTTACCTAGAATTTTAATCTAAATGTCATTTCTGAAGAGTTTTGTCTTGCCAAAATTTATTAGATTTATAAAGCACAGTTTTTATAGTTTGGTTGTGCAAAAATGCCAAAGGTTAGGAGTGTATCTAGTCTCCCCCTCCTAAGACCCTAGATAGCTGCAAATGTTGGGTAATGGCCTTTTTATTCGTCAAAAATATATCATTTACGTATTTTAAAAGTGTTAATGCCATGAAATAACTTGTCTAGTAGAGACTGTGATCAGTCCAACTCTAGATGAGAATTCAACAAGGAAAACAGAGTATAGAAGAGGAAGAAGAGAGAGAGAGAGAGAGAGAGAGAGGAAGAAAGAAGAAAGAAGTCGAAGAGAAAAAAATTCAGAAAAGAGTGTGGGTTGACTTACACATTGCTGCCCCACTCAGCTATTTATATTAAAGATTTAAAAAATAGCTAACTTACAATATTGCCCTTACTAACATAACTTATCAGCAACTAAAGAAAAAAAACTGAAATAACTAACTTGCTGACACTACTAACATGCTAACAGCTAATAAATAGTATGCTAACAGCAACATAAATAACGACAATTGCCCTACAACTCTGCAAAATATTATCTAGAAGTGTCCACGTAGTGTTTGGTGTTGCCTTGGATATGTATTTTGTCGAACATTGACATGCTAGCCATGTAAAGGTATCTAGGCATCAAAACTTCTGCTTTAATAGAATGAAAATTTTGAAGGTAAAAGACAGGAGAATAAATGGAAAAGAAAATGGAGACAGTTCATTCATGAAGAAAGATAACAATCAAAGAATAATTACTTTTGGTCAAGATCCCAACAAATGATAAAACCACTAGGGGCCTTCCGCCAGAGTCCGGATCTGATCTCAATGCAAGGTCCCAACAGCCATTACAGCCATACATTGAGAACATCTTGCCATGAAGGACAAGGGAGACGTTCCCGATGTATGGTTGCAATGGATATCGGGACCATGTGTTGGGAGTTGGGATCAGATCTGAACTCCTTCCTCCAGCAAAGGCGGTTAAAGGCAAAGGTGTACCTAAGGTAGCAGGGCCTTCTTGTCTGAGGTGTGAAGTTCCAAAAAAGACACTCACCTCAGTTAAGCAAATAGAGTAGTTAATCTGGTTGTGAAAAAAGTAGCCTCTAATAGATGATTGGGACCCCCCCCCCAAAAAAAAAAAAAAAAAAAAAAAACTATTTTATGGATTTTTGTACACAGAAATCATAAAACAATGTAAAAGAAAATATTACTGCAGTAAGCCAAGTGTAGTCAGTGAATAGATGACAAAGGCACTAACCTCACTGAAGGTCCATAAGGTGAAGTGAGGTGCTATGGTAGTACTTTGGGTGCCTTTCACAATACAACTACTGGCTGATGCATTAAGTCTTGGTGGATTTTGGAACCTCAGGTCTTCAACCTAGAAGTTGAAGCCTCATTATTCGATAAAAACAAAAGATAAATCTCCTTGAACTCCACCTAGAAGATCTAAGCAGACAAATGATAATTCAATTCCCCTTCCATCTCCCCTCTCCCGGTCAATAGAGTGAAGATCCTTATGTTTTTTCCACCAGGATAGAGTGTTGGTTATAATTGAATCTTCCTCCCTTTGCAGACCTGAAAGGCATCAGAAAAAGGTACTGGTTCCACAATTCTCCTATTGTGTCAATACTAGGGAAAGAATTAATAACATGCGGTCAATCCCTCAGAATGTATCCAACAAAGTTCTTCTAGAAAACTTGTCTATGGATACCTAATAACAGTTCTGATTGAGTGGGTATCATCATGGGCATGGTAAGATTGGACCTAATCCTTTTACCTTCCTCCCAGATGTCCCTTAGAGTTGCTAAAGAGTGTTCTGATTTGTGCTAGCTTCACTTTGCTTATGTATGGTTATAGTTACCTTATTTTTGCTTGTACATTTTACGGCATAAGTGCTCTCTCTTCCTATCTCTCTCTAACGTATATTGTTGATGTAATTCATTATAAACCAAATGCCTGTGTTTGTAGACTGTTCTTTAGGTGACCAAAGCCAGTTAGAAATGCTAAATTTTGCTTGATTGCACTATAGGAGCATCCCATCTTGATCTCCTTAAGGTTATTCATTTGTATTTCTTTTTTTATGCTTAGCATATTAATTATTTTTTGTTAGAATGATAAGCAGTTAGAGTAATGAGATTATCATTCCAGCATAAAAAAGAAAGCATAGATCAAATTCTTATTTTCTTCACAAGGTGCCAACCGGCTGGTGGGTAAGGTCTCCTGCTGGTTGTAGTGGAGATTTGGGATCGAATCCCGCCTGCACCTGGAATGGGGGGTTTATGGGTTTGGGGGATGGGCTACCTCCATTGTGTAGCCCCTGGGAGCAAAAAAAAAAAAAAGAAACTTATTTTCTTTTCTTTTTTTTTTTGATCAATAAGAAACTTATTTTCTTCATGGTTTGATTTTCAAAGTCAATCTAGGCTTTGGGCTGTTTATATTTCATTTCAAGAGTGTTCTGGATATTGCTGGTCTTTCCTCTGTTTTCAATCACTGATATCAGTTGGTTTTAACAATATATATTTGATAATTGTTTTAAGGTGTTTATTTTCTGACTATATGCAAAATAGAAGGGATAACACTGATTTTCCAACCCAAATCTAAGGGAGAATGGGGCCTCTCTGCCGTTTGAGGAATAAGCCAAAAAGGTTCATCATTTGCTGCTCTTTTTTTTTTTGAGAAAAGTTAACCAAGATTCATTAATAAAAAAGAGGTACATGGGGAGATGTACAAATCAGGGGAAGAACCCCTGTAAATTACAAAGGAGGAATAAGCCAAAAAGGTTGATAATTTTCTGCTCTTAAGAGTAGAAACATGTAACGTTTTATGGATGGGGTCAAGAACCTTCTCTATATAAACGCCAATGGACCATATATATGTTGAGTTCTTTTTATGTTTTAGAGTTCTTTTTTGATAAGTGAAAATTCATTGGTTTCGAAAAGATAAACAACGTTACAAGCATCGCAAGGAGAGTTGCGAGGTGCAGCCTCACCCTAATAAAAAATTACACCAAACTATTACAATCGAGCCCAGTACAACTGATCCCTTTGTACCCCTGCTTAGCTAGAAAATCAGCCAATGCATTGGCTTCTCTCCCCACCCATTGTATAAACAGAATCATATTTCTTGGTAATCACTTGAATTTATTTATCTCAGCACTATAACACCATATTGTTGAATCCAGTTCCTTCAGCCAGTCCACTACTACCTTTGAATTCCCTTCAATCACCAAATTCCCCAGATTCAACTCTTTTGCAATCTGAGCTCCTTGTAAAACAGCATATAGTTCAGCCCTTATAGAGCCTCCAATTCCCACCGGTCCTGAGTATAGTGCCACTACATTTTCTACCTTATCTTTTATGACCCCTCAATTCCAGAATGGCTTGGGTTAGCTTGGCTACTTCCATCAAAGTTTTTGGGAGACCCATGGGTCTATGTAAATGGTCATAGCTTAGAGGGCTGGGTGGCTGAGCCTGTGACACAGTTCTGGACATATGGGCCCATGACAGGATTTAACCATTCTGTGTCATATGTAGTCGTTGGAGGTTTGGACATACTTGTGGAGGTACCATACATAAGTGCGGTGCTGGTGCACACTGCAGAAAAAGATATACCATATTTGTTTTAGTGATCAGTATTGGTCCATTTCCAGATGAATATGATTGATACCTTAAAAAGAAATGAGCTTATTTAGTTGCATTTAATATGAATAGATCAACTACTAGTTCATCCACTAAGTTATACAGAGCAAATCTCCACCACAAATGAGTAAACATTAGAACCATTTTTAAAATTTCCTTTGTTTTAATCGTGGAATTGTGGGTAGCCATTTTGGCTTCTGATGTAGAAGTTTTGGACAACATTTGGTTTCACCGTTTCAGCTGTGGCTCTACTACATTTTGCATGACCATGATTGTCATTTTAAATAATGTAAACCAATATCATCAGACCTTGATCGGATGTAAAACGGAAATCTTATTGGATCACTAGTTTACCATTTAAGTGGTGATTTAATCATTCAGTTAATGAAAATTGGTAAAAAACTGGGATCTTTTTTCAAGAGAACCTTTTTGCTCCAAGTTGGGTAGATTCTTGTTTTCAGTGGATCAGGAAGAATATTGGGGAGGTTTTTCTGGTTGCATGTTCTCCAGATTAATTTCTTATCATTGCCCTATCATTTTTTGTCTATAACAGGTAGGTGGTCTCTCCCCTGTTAGATTGAGAATATGTGGTTTAAGACACCCTTCTTTTCTTTGGAACATGAGAGTTTGGTAGGAAGAGGAGGTGGGTATGAAGTGGCAAGATTATAAATTGAGATAGAAATTGCAGGAGATAAATAGAAAATTTGAGCTTCTTTTTTCACAAATTAATAGAGTTTGTGGTTACCAATAACAAAAGAAAAAAAATGCATCTCTTTGTATAATTCTTTATTTGTCTTACTAAGTTATCTTGGTGCTTCACATTTGATTTCCCTTTTTATTTCAGTGTGTGATATTTCTTTTTTCAGGCTTTGTTTTTGATACACAGGTTTTTTAGTGTCTCTCTTGTTGTGTTCTTCATTCTCTGGCATTCTTCCTCTGCTGCTGCTTCACCTTTTGGTATTAAGGTATAACAGAGATGCAGGATATTTATATGAGCTGAGTTTGAATTCTTATTCATGATCCTTTGATTCCTTTATCATGTAGTGAACTGGTGTCTCCTTTTAGGTTTCTGCTTCTCAGCCCTCCAATTTTAAGGATGATCCAAAGCTCGATGTTAATCAAGAACGTCCTACAGATTCTGGAGGTTGGAGTAACCATGGATGGTTTTACAGTTCAGTCAGAATTGGCTTGTTCCTATGGGTATGATTATAGCAGTTTTTGTGTTGCCAGGGATTAAGTATTTTTTTCACTCTCAAGATGTTGTTGAGAAATCTTCATTGTATTTAATTTTCTTCTTGGAATTTTGTCTGTTTTTCTGTAGGTTGCACTGCTTAATCTTATTACTATTTCTTCAACTTGGGCTAGAATAATTGATGTTATGGACAGTGAGGTTTGTTTGCTACCAGATATCATGGATGTGACTTTTTTTTTTTATGCAAGTCTAATTTTTCCATGTATGCAGTCAGGTTCAAGATTGTTTGGGTTCATTGGTGCTGGTGCTACACTTGGACAGCTTTTTGGTTCATTGTTTGCTGCAGCAATGGCTTGGTTGGGACCTTGTATGTATCCCTCATTTTCTTCCTCAACAAGAAGTTGTGGTTTTGAAATGACATTTACCAACTGCTTCTATTTAACCATTGTCCAATGACTGCTTTCTAATGAGTGATTCCTCTCAGTTTTACTCCTCTTTGCTGCTCTTCTGATGGAGCTTGCAGCACAGGCATCGAAAGGCATCAACCAGGATCTACCCCATGACTCTGAAGAACTATGTTCCATGAGGTTTACTTTAGTTCTTATATTTAAGTCCAATTCATTTTATTTATATGATAGAAGTTCTTGGGGGAAGGTTGAGAAAACATATATCTCAGAAGCAAGAAACCATTGATTGAGAAATTTGTTCTCCACAAGGAAATGACATCAATCTAGTTCTTGAACAGTTTGCAATTATTGCTTATCTTGTGATCTTTAACCATCTAAAATGCGATACACCTTGCTATTTGGGTGATGTTCTTGTTTTAATGCTTCACAGGTGCAAATACTTTTCAGTCTGTAACCACCTTCTTGCTACTGCTTGGGGGTCCTATTTGTAATAATCATGATTAGAATTTGGTAATAGGATTAGTTTTTTTACCCTTTGCCAATTGAAAGAGATTTGTTTATTCAACCCTACATTATTGAATTCAATAGGAACTTCAAACCTTATCAGGTTATTGTTTATTGCAACTAAAATACTAATTGAAATGCCTCAGGAGGCAGGCAGGATTATATCTTCACAAATGAGAAGGTTCTATTGTAAGTTAAGCATTTATAAGGGCAATTACAACAATAAGAATGTAGAGATCAGAAAAAACTATTATGACCACCATCAATACTAGAATGGTTGAAATGCTTCAGGCAAGATTATAATCTCATATAAGCATGGAAGATAAAGATAAATGCACGGTGAGAGCATTCATCCTTAATGTAAAATCTACATGGATGATTAAAGCAAAATCCTTATAAACCAAAAAGAATGGTATATAGAAAAGTACTTTGGTTGCCATCATAGTGTATGTTTCTTTGAGGGTTGAGGATTTGTAATGGAAGAGTCTCTTAATTTTTATTTTTTTCTTTGTTTTCCCCCTTGTTAGGAGGCAAAGCAGAAAACTATGTGAATGTATGTAGATGACTGAATGGCCAATGATCTTCCACAAAGAAAGTAGGTTTGCAGACATATTCCTCCCATCAATCTCTATTAGTGGGTCAACTTTGAGCCTAGGTCCTTACCATGCCTTAAAAATAACCCATTCTTTTTACATTAAAATATTGAAACTTTTAATGATCAATGGTACTGGAGGAAAACACTAAGACAAGGTGTGGTATATGATTGATGTGGACAGCAGGATTGAACAGGTGGCCAATCCAGAGGATCCCCCGCCAGATGGTTCAGATTGGCTACATCATCCGTCCATGTGGCAGATATAGGGTATATTGTGTGGAAAGCTCCCTAGCTTACCTGATTAGAAAAAACTTTTTCCTCTCTCTCTCTCTCTCTCTCTCTAGGCATGTCTCTTATAAAAGGAATATAGATTTTTATTCTTAGGTAAAAAATCCAAAGAAAACAGAAAGGCCCTTAGGAATATAGAGGAGCATACTATTTTGTTTTATTTAATAAAACAAATAAAACACTTTAGATAGAGGGTGCAACTCAGGTGGGTTGGGTTGGTTTGAAGCAAAGTTTATTAACCTAGGCCCTACCTGAGCTTAACCCAGTAAACTCTGGTTGGGCTTGAGCTGGGTTGGTCCAGTTTGAAAGAATTTATGTATATATTTTTATATAGCCATCTTTTATTGAGCTTTCTAGCCCAGTTTAAGAGTAGTATTAATTGAAAAAAATTACAAATTTCGTTTGCAAATGTACATATATAGGGACATTGCATACTTTTTGCTAATTAATATATTTCTTGATACTTCAATTATCAAAAAAAAAAACATTTCTTGATACTTTATCTTTTTCAAAAAAATATAGGGTCCAATATGAGTCCATTATAGATGAACCAGGTCCAATCCAAATCTGATAAATACTTTGGACCATTAAGTCTGGACTGGTCCAATTCAATATGTCTAATTGGACCGTCCAACCAGTTCAAATTGGTTTTAATTCAGATTGGGTCCAAGCCATACCTGGTCCATTGACATCCCTACTCTTATCTTCTGTCAGTGGACCGGATATTGGTTCAACCTGACTAGGTCCAATCCAATCCAATCCAATAAATACTTTGGACCATTAAATCTGGACTGATCCAATTCAATATGTCTCAGATTGTCCAGCTTGTTCAAATTGATTTTGATTTGGATGGGGTCCAACACAAACCCGGTCTGTTGACACCCCTATACATATACATATTTTTATACATGTAAATATAGTTAGAAAAAAAAGATATTTTTATATAAATATAATACACATGTATGTATTTGTTAGGGCGAGCTTGGGTTGGGTTGGACCTGAATTGGATTTTGCTGGGTTCATGCTACCCGAGGCCTCAACCCAAGCCCAACCCAAGTTTAGGTCCGGCCCAGGCCCAGCCCACAGCCCTAAAACTGATGCCCAATCTGTGCAAAAACTTGGGCTCGGTCAGCTCAGGCTTGGGTTGGGCCCACCCAAGTTGCGCCCCTAACTTTAGAAATCAAAATGTTCTGAGTTCTTCCTCATCTATATTATATAGCATTCTGTCAATTTATTTCCTAATAATGTCATGCACCTCACCCCAAAATAGCATCAGTGTTCATGATCTGAGACCTAATTTGCTGGCTATCATGTTCACTAACTTGCCTCATCCAAGATAGCTGAGAGCAAACAGATGTGATGACAGAGGAGGTTAGGCTGCAGGTTAGTCGGTTACAACAATTCTTTTGGTAATCCTGACCTTTCTGGGATTGGAGTCATCTCTTAGATAGAGAAGGTAATATTTTCTGGCCTGATAATTTATCCAATTGGAGAAGATAACCTATGGATTACAATAGTTTTATTTATTATGAGAAAAAAAGATTTCCTTGTATAGCTTTATGGCTAGACAAAGATTTCCAGTATGCTTTAACTTTCAATTGATAGTTAGCATGGTGTCATGTCATCAAGGTGGGATTGTATACTGAGTCACATGATCTTTGTAAAGCTTGTATAATTTTATAGCTTCTACAACTTGGACATTTGTCTGATGCATTCGTTGTGTAGATCATTTTATCTTCTGTCTGATATCTTACTTTAGAACAGTATTTCCATTGTTGCTTAAAGAGAAAAAGAAAGAAAATTTTTAGTATCCGAATGCATTTACTTGAAAATTTGAATGCCTCTCTCTATGGCATTCTCATTTCCTTGCGTGAACATACAAGTGTAGATACTGACGTGCATCTAAATTTTCTGGAACTTTTAGATATACTGTTTGATATCTTTGACCCAAACTGCATTAAATACTTGTAGTCATGGTGTGTAATATTGATATCAATGAACATCTCGCCATGTAGAGTTAGAGAAAATTCGTAGATATTTCACATATTTGTTAAGATATTTGGAAAATCTAAAAGATCAGGAAAGTTTTCTAGAAACATTAAAGTAGTTAATAAACCTTCAAGACATCAGTAGGAGAAATATAATTGCATATTTAAAGCTCAGAAAACCATAAAAAGAACTATATAAATCAAATAGGAAAAAATTAAGCAATTGTAATAGGTATGTTTCTCTTTGTTTCCCTTTTGGTCTTTAGCCATCCTCACTAATTCCTTGTTGTTTCTTTTAGGGGAATATTTTTAACAAATTACGATAAATTTAATGAAATACCGCTGATATATATAGCTGATCAAAACAAAAAAAAATTGCCGATATATAGGCAACATATCAGAGATGTTTGGAAAAAAGGTTCCCGGAAGATTTCATATCACCACTTAGAAAATGGGGATGTTTCGCCAACTATAATTGATATTGCGAACCATGCTGGTAGTAAGTTGGTTTTGCAACTCTTTTTTGTTTCTTGACATGGGTAGTTTTTGGTTGTAGAGAAACTGATTCTAATCAATATAGTGTGACTGATGAAAAAACAAAACCTGCTTTGGAAAGATCTTCCCCCAAGTCATCTACTTCTGCCATCAAGCCTAAGTTTTGGGTCATGCTAGATGGACTACAGCTGATAATGTCATCAAGCTACCTCCTCCATGTTTCTTTATTCCTATGGCTGGGTGCGGTCGTCTCTTCCTTCTTCTATTTTCAAGTATATTTCATCTCTTTGTTCCATGTACTGATGATATTTCTCTTTTGTTTTTGTTTCTTCCCATCAACCACTCAAAAAATACTGCACTTATGCATACAATAGACCCCACATTCATATACAGTCTAGAAGGCCAATAATCATATACTATCACATTATTGCTGTTCCTGATTTATTTGTTTTTTTTTTTTCTTCTCAAAATGCTATGGTGTTAACTGATTCTTTAAGAAACCACAGAGATTATATCTTTTCTTTTTTCTTTTTTACCTCATATAATCTTTAGACATGGACATGACTGTTACAGTTAACATTGCTTAGGTTATTACACATGGAAATGTTGTACACTTCACGAGAAATATATTAAAATAAAACAGAGACATCAAGATGTGTCCAACTTCATACCTGACATGGGACAAGATTTTTGTGTTGATCTTCCTGACACACGAGAAATCTAAAGAAGTGTTCCATGTTTCATAAGTTTTTTATATATGTAGATATGTTTTCCTTTTGCAACTGGTACCCCTGATAGCAGGGGTCATCTTTGGGTAATGATCTGCTTGCCTTTTGCAACTGGTGGAAAGAAAAAGTAGGTCCTGAGTTTCTTTGTGAGAAATTGTTACTCCTATTTTTCAGTAGCTTCTTTTGCATAGGGTTTGTGACGTTTGTCTCTTCTTGGATTTCTTATTTATTAATGCAAATTATTATGACCTATCTAAAGAAAACATTTTTTACTAGTTTAGCTTTGATCTCACAATGGAATGCCGACGCAAATGTATAGCTATTGGTTCCAAAACATTCGAACTGGTCACAAATCGATATCTTGGGGATAGTGAGTTGGTGATCACAGAGCGAGGAAATGGGGCTTGGACTAGAATTTCTCTGAAAAAGGAAGAGGCTCTTTGGACAGTGGGTGGGTTGGAGAAAATCCTAGAAAATCGTTTCAGAACCTCTGAACCATTAAGGCGAGCGGACAGGGGAAGAATAACCACTATCCTAGTTGCAGAAAATAGATGGGGAAGATTCGTCAGACTGAGCCATTGGGAGGGAGCAAGTAGAATGCGAAGTATCTGCATTCCTGAAGAAGCCAATTCATTCGGATGGGAGACAATGACAAGTACTTTAAAATCTGTTCTCACCAGTAAGGGAAGGACAAACTTGGGCATCCCGTCAATAGAGGAGTTCCCGAATTTAGAGCAAGGCAGATGGTCCACCAATCTGGTCCGTTTGGGAGTTGGAAGACTGCTTTCATCTGCACCAAACCAGAGGAGTTATCTTGGAGAGATGTGGAGTTAGGTCTCTCAGAAAATCTGCATTCCTCAAAGTTGTTAACTCTGAAACCCTTTGAGTTGAACAAGGCAGTGGGGTTTGCCCCATCAGAGGAATTAGTTAGCAGGTGGGCAAGACTGGGATCGGTATTTGTCTATGGAAAGAAGGTGTTGGTGGAGCGGTGGTGGTCGAAAGTGAATACAAACCCTGTATCTCTAAGCTTTGATGGCTGGTTAGTGATACACGGACTGCCCTTTCATCTTTGGACAGCGGAGGTTTTCAATCTCTTAGGAAGCCTTTGCGGCGGCCTAGAAACGATCGATGAAAAAACAAGTGGCTTCCTGGAACTTCGATTTGCCAGGATCAGGGTGAGAGGTAGAGGAGTTTACAAAGTGCCTCGTGTAGTTCCCATCCTCGATAGAGATGTATGGCTCTATTGCTCACTCGAGGTGGAGAAGATGAACGAGTCAGTACAGAGCTTAGCCGAGTTAACTCACTAGACTGGTGTCAGTACACGTGGCGCGGAAAGGGAAATTGATGCGCCATCTGCCTCTAAGGTGAGGTTGAGTGTGATTCGAGACCAACAAGCTACAGAAGAGATTTCTTCATACAGAAGCAAAGAAAAGAGCAGGAACCATAAAAGGAAATCTAGCGGGACTGGGGAGGGAGCTCGGGAAAGAAAAGGAAACTTTACTCAAATTTTAAATTTTAAGAAGAAAGAAACCCAGGGGGAGAAGGACAGTAGATGTTGGGCAGGCGTCCCTTCCAAAGCCCGACCCAACCTAGAGACCTGAACCCCTTCCTTAATCCATGTCTGGCCTGAGCTAGTGGGCTGAATAAAGACAAAAGCCCAGACTGAATGTTCTCACGAGGAAAATGTTTATGACAGCCCTGTCGTTACTCCTCTGTTCTTTGGCAAAGACCTTCCAGATACCCCACTTTCAGTTGGAGGGGAAGCAAGAGATGCTAATTGCCCTCCAATGCCATTGCATACAGGGAGTTTGAGTTCGGATAGAGAAGATGTGGAAGAGGAGTTTGATTCAGAGTTGAGTTTGTATGAATCTGAGGAAGACATTGATGGCCGGGAGGTGGCTCTCAAAAGAGCACAATCATTATTTGAGAATAGGGAACACTGGGGCAGTGTGGAAATTCTGGAGCCGATGCAGCTTGTGAACCCAAATTATGGTTTCTCTGATCCTAGACACCTTGAGAAAGGAGGAAAGACTGAATTTGCAACAAACTCCAAACCAGGCCTTTCGTCTAACCTCTTTACTTGCTCTCCCTGTATTACTTATTCTTCCTTCTCCTTTGTACCTGAGCCTCACTGTGTTTCTTTTGTTTCTCTTGATTCAGGTGATGGTGGGCTTCTATCCCAACCCTCGACAAGTCCCCACGAACAAGCTCTGACATTGAAGACTCGCTTGAATATTGCCGATCAAGAGAACAATGGGGAAGGCACTAAGCAGCGGATAGGAACAAAAGGAAGCAGCAAGGGGAAGAAGTTGGTACTTGGGGTAAAGAATGGGAAAAATAGAGAGCTCAAGAGACTTCAATGGGGCTTTGTTGACCAAGGAATTGGGCCTGTAAACAGCACCGATAGAAGGTTGGTTAAAGGAAAGGAAGGTGTAGGCAAATCATGAAGATTTTAAGTTGGAATGTAAGGGGGCTTGGAGGGAATTTGAAGAGAAGTTTGGTGAAAGATACTCTAAGGAGAGAAGACCCAGACGTAGTGATCTTACAAGAAACAAAGAAAGAAGTAATAAACAGAAATTTGATTAAAGCAATTTGAGGAATCAGAGGAAGGAAATGGGTAGATCTCCCTATGACGGGAACAACGGGAGGAATCCTAATTATGTGGAAAGAGGAGGTGGTTACTGGAATAGAAGTGGACACAGGAGAGTTTACCTGTCTCAGTCCTTTTCACAAATACTTCTGATGGATTCAACTGGATCATGACTAGAGTGTACGGGCCAACTTCTCCTTCTCAGAGAGGGAGGTTATGGGAGGAATTGGATTCCCTGCATGAGTTCGATGACTTTTCCTGGTGTGTTGATGGTGATTTCAATGTCACAAGATTCTGCAGTGAGAGCTCAAATAGTAGGAGAGTAACAAGAAGTATGAAGGACTTCTCTGAGTTCATTGCTAGACACAACCTTAGAGATCCCCCCTCAACAATAGGTCCTTTACTTGGTCAAACATGAGGGAATGCGCGATAAGTAGCAGACTGGATAGATTCCTCATGACCAATGACTGGGAGGAACACTTTCCCAATTGTTTGCAATCAATTAAGCCTCGTTGCATCTCTGACCATTGGCCGGTGGTGCTCCAGAATGCAGTCTTTAGGAAGGGAAGGGTGCCTTTTAGGTTGGAGAAGGTATGGACTGCGCATAAGGACTTTCAGCAAAGAGTAGCTTCTTGGTGGGAGGAGTGCAGAGTGGAGGGTTGGGCAGGGTTCCGCTTTCAACAGAGGCTAAAACACCTGAAGGGGAAACTAAAAGCTTGGGGTAAAGAGGAGTTTAAAAGTTTTGTGGAAGATAAGAATAAGCTAATTCAAGAGATTGATGATCTGGACCAAAGAGAGCAAACAGGGAATTTGGATGCCAGAGGGTAGAAGCCAAAGAGAAGTTATTAGAAGGGAGTGAGAGAAAATTATACTAAGGAAGGAAATCTATTGGAGACAAAGGTCTCGAGTGAGATGGCTGAAGGAGGGAGATAATAACTCAAAATTCTTTCATAGTTACGCTTCAGGGAGAAGAAAGAAGAACTACATCTCAAAACTGAGGGTGGGGCAAAGAGAGGTGGAAGACAAGGGAGAAATTTCAGAAGTCATCATGCAATTTTTCAAAGGGCTCTACTCAAAGGATGGTACTAGCAAAATTCCTCTGAATAGATGGGAGGGCCCAAGTTTGTTTGAAGACAAAAGGGTGTGGCTAGAAAGAACTTTTGAAGAGCAATAGATTAAAGAAGCAATATTTAAGATGGACGGTGATAGAGCTCCTGGGCCGGATGGGTTCCCTATTCTCTTCTACCAACTTTGTTGGGACACAATCAAGTCTGATCTAGTGGAGGTGTTTGCAGAATTTTACCTATCAGCCATTGTGGACAAAGGAAACAATTCAACATTCATCACCCTAGTGCCAAAGAAAGAGGGATCCTTAGAAGTTAAGGATTTCAGACCTATCATTTTGGTGGGAAGCTTATATAAAATAGTAGCGTAAGTGTTGATGACAAGGCTAAAGGAGGTGCTGAATGACCAAATTTCAAACAACCAATTCGCTTTTGTGCAAGGAAGACAAATTAATGACAGCATTCTAGTGGCCAATGAATGTGTAGAAGAAAGAAGACAAAGTGGCAAGCCAGGGGTGGTAATCAAGTTGGACTTTGAAAAGGCCTATGACAAAGTGGATTGGGATTGCTTGTTAGAGATTCTAAGCCTGAGAGGTTTCGGTAGAAGGTGGATGAGATGGATAAAAGGGTGCATAAGCTTTGCTTGGTTTTCAGTCTTGATTAATGGTGAACCTACTGGATACTATAATGCAAACAGGGGCTTGAGACAAGGGTGCCCTCTCTCCCCATTACTCTTCACTATGGTGGCAGATGTACTCAGTTACTTGATACAAGAAGCAAGGGAGTTAAATTTGCTGAAAGTGTTGAAGTTCGGCCTGCCCTAGAAGTCTGTTTTGTTTGTTCGCTGAAAAGTAAAGTAAACAACAAGAAGGAAGAGAGGAAAGAAGAAG